TAGAATAAATTGAATATAAATTATTCTTTGTTCAAAAGCAAAAAAAAATATATTTTCACATTTTTCTTCCTTTTAGATGCGTTTTTATTTGTATGACAATATATCACCACTTTGCTTAAGTATTAGCTAGACTATTTTAAAGTAAATAATAACTAATGATAAACACAGGGACACTTACTTGTACATAGAGAGCAAAAATTCGTATTTGTAAAGTAGATTTTCATACAGATTCTACGCAAATCCTCGCAGCATTGGAAACGTGTGTTTTCCACAGATTATAAGGAATGTTCTTAATTTCCTCCGTAAATTAAGAAAAATTGGCGGCATTAACGTGATTTTACCTGATTTTTTTAGTTTTCTAGTACTAGGATACACTTTAAACGTAGTAAAAAGACATTGACTGTAAATTATTGATTATAGAAAAAGAAATATTGTGTTCAGAATACCGCATGATCGAAATAAAAACATCAAGTATCATTAGAAATTTAATTGACGCCATTTTTTTCGATCATGATGTATAATTTTGCATAGTTATTGCTAATAGAAACTTTGATCGATAAAGTTTATATTAGATTCGGTTATTTGTATTTTTTTTAATGTATACTTTTAGTAATAAGGAAAATAGAATAGTTTTGACCTATTTAATATAATACAGTAATATTAAAATGTGTTTTATTTATCTATCATAAAATAAGTAATCATAGCAATAAAGCGAGATTTATTTTTGTAGAAAACTATAGTTCTTCTCATGTATTGTATGTAGCATCTGTCAGATCAATTACAATGATACAAAAATTATGTTAAATTATACAAGTCTGAAAGGTGATATACAGGATGGTCCGAATTGTATTCCGGAAACTTCAGCAGCATATTCTGCAGATAAAAATAAGCAGGAAAGTTCGTATAAATGAATGTCCTAAAATGCTTTGATTCGGAGATACAGGGTGTAGAAGTTTCATTTTTATTTCGATTTTGTCCAAATAATTTCTGAAGTGACGTCAATATTTGGATGAAAATTGGTGTCTGGATGTTTTTTGACATGAGAAACTTGATTTTGATGTCAATATGACTCCTGCTTGTAGAGGTACATGTGTTTTAACTGTTTTGAAGCGTAATAACTTTTCGTCCGTACCTGTATAAAACCGCTGAGTGAAAAAATATACATTTTTGTGATTTTCTACGTAAAAAATGCCTCTTAGTACAAATCGCTACGAGCAACCGTTCTCCAGATATTTAGAATGAAAATAGTCAATACTTGTAATTATTGACAAAAAATAAACACACGTTGAGGATAGTTATTTGACCTGAAATAATATATTTGAGAAATTTTAATTTTTTTTAAATTAATCATAAATTTTTCTGCGAAAAAATGATGATAAAAGAGTTTCTGTTGAACATTTGGCACCTATATATTTTAAATTTATGATTTCAATCTAATAACTATCTAGTCAACCTGTTCAGTTCTTGTCAATAATGACGTATTGGTAATTTAGATTCCAAATATCTCGAGAACCATTACTCGCAGCGATTTTTACCAAGAGACACTTTTTACGTAAAAAAAGTCGTAAATGTATATTTTTTACTCGGTAGTTTTATACGGGTACGGACAAAAAGTTATTATCCTTCAAACCCTTTGAATAAGAAGACTAAGGAAGGAGCATAATGCTATCCATGTATTCATGCATGGTGGGCGGAAAAAGCGCCATAAAAGCACTCTAGGGTGGGGATCCTTGACAGTTCTGTTTGACGATTCATTTGACACATTTGAATTTGATTTGAAATTTTGTGGATTTGTCAGTCTTTACGGAGCTTATTTTATGTTATTTATTATTTATTTTACTACTGATAGTTGTATAAAGGTAGTAAATCTAGATGGAAATTGTAACAGAACTTAAATTAACAGTGACACTATCGCGATTTATCGAAAAAGACTGTAAAATAGTTGGTTGTGTAGCGTGCGGTAGATCTCGGCAAAAATTGAGTGAAATAATGGAACAACTTTTCGCTAGTAAGTGACTATATAATATACATACGTGTAGTAAACCTATCATTTATGAAATTCACTTAAATTAACTAAATTATATATTTTTCTTGCATTTTAGCTTTTATTTATTACTTGTCAAAGATTAGATGTCAAAGAATTTAGATACGTTAATTTGATTTACCTGCTTCAGTAGCGTATCGGATGTTTGTGTTAATAAATACTTATTATAACTTATCTATTTTTATTAGAATTATATATTTTTATAACAATTTTAATAACTACTAACATTTATTCACAACATAACATAAAACAACAAATTATTGAGTCTACCCCACGTCTACCCTACATCATAGTTTTACATTTTTTAAATAAAATTAGAACGACACCGATAAACCGGAATTTAAGTCGGCCATATTTGAGGCCCATCGCGGTGTACCTAGGATTTTTGATATGCTCCTTCCTTAGTCTTCTTATTCAAAGTTCAAACCAGTTAAAACATATGTAGGTGGCGCCCTCTACAAGCAGGAGTTATATTGACATCAAAATCAAATTTATCATGTTAAAAAACTTCCAGACACCAGTTTTCATCCAAATATTGATGTTACTTCATAAATTATTTGGAAAATATCGAAATAAAAATGAAACTTCTACACCCTGTATTTCCGAAACTAAGCATTTTAGGGCATACATTTATACGAACTTTTTTACTTATTTTTATCTGCAGAGTATGCTGCCGAAGTTTCCGGAATACAGTTCGGACCACCCTGTATAATCCAGTAAAATTGTATCGCCGTGTAGAGAGTGAAAAAAACATTACGGGCAAGTTGAATTCTTCAGAGTTTGTCAGCGACTGTCTTCTGGGTGTAAAATTAACAAAATCGGAAATAAAATAAAATAATTTAAAAGTTTATTATTTCCGGACTTAGCGGCCGTTTCATGAGCCCTTTGGGGTGGTTTTCAAAAAGTTTGTTTTACAGCAAATTGACCCGAATGAAAGTTGTTGATAAGAAATGGACCAGCAACTTTTCCTTATGAATTTTTTTTGTAGCTTGATTATTTTTGGAGATAGCGTCCAGTTCATGAACAAATTAGGGTAGTTTTCAATGTTACTCTTATTTCAGCAAATTCACCCTAAGAAACTCGTTCAAAATAAGAGTACATATACCTTTGCCTTGTGAAGTTTTTTTGTAACTCGACTATTTTTGGAGATCCAGATTTTTGCGCCCAGATCATGAACAAGTGGTGGTTGCTTTAAATGTCTTTTTTTTCAGGAAATTCACAAGTGCTATTTCACTTGATGAATTCCATGTTTCGTTTTGGGGAAATAAATACATATCATAGGGAAGTTTGCATGTAATTTTAATATGAACACCTTTAAGTTGGTAAATTTGTAGAACTAAACAAAAATTATGAAACTACCCCAATTTGTTCATGAACTGGACGCATCTCCAAAAATAATGAAGCTACAAAAAAAATCACGAGAAAAAGTTGTCCATTTATTATGAACAACTTTCATACAGGTCAATTTGCTGTAAAACAAACTTTTTGAAAACCACCCCAAAGGGCTCATGAAACGGCCGCTAAGTCCGGAAATAATAAACTTATAAAAAAAATTCATTAGGCGAACTTATAGAGAATCTTCTTATGTACAATTTGCGTCTAATTATTTTGTTGTAGTACAGTTTAAAAAAAAATACCCCTATTGCTCAATACCCGCAAGGGGAAAATTTCCGATTTTGTTTATTTTACACTCAGAAGACAGTCGCTGACAAACTCTGCCCATAATTTTTTTTTCAAATGACAATTTTATTGGATTAATAGTCTGTACAACCATTGTTTAAGGTTTGGTTTGGTTTACTACTACTGTCTTTGACGTGATAATAGTATAAAATATACTAAGTGATATTGAAAATGCTACACCTATGGAAAGTGCTTTAATTTTCACTACCTAACCAACTAAACGAAAGGCCGACATGTTCGCCTACCGTTAAGACCAAGTTGACATGTGTAGGCCATATTGAAACACAGTATTAGAATTAGATGTGGGAATTCTCTAGTTCCTTAGATCTAGTTCCTCCAGAGGAATAGTTCCTTGAACTAGGTCTTTAGTTCACAATAGTTCCCGACTAACATTGACATCCTCGTTGCTTGCTAATGGGTTTCATTGTCAGTCAGAACTATTCACAGTATGATCTGTATAATTTTTATAATGTGCGAAATAATTGCGTATGTTAAAAACATATAGCAGACACATATTTATTGCAGATAAAAAAATTAAAAAAAGAAACTCAAGTCGGAGTTTAAAGAGCTATATCATAAATCAATTAGAGCAAATAATACGAAAAATTACATTTTTCCTCACTTCCAAGGTTTTTGTTTTTGTCTAAAAATTCAGAATATCTACTTCGTTTTATAAGGTATTTCTTAATTTTAGGGATTTATTTTACATTCCCATAAAATATTCAAAGAACAAACTAAAAATCAAAAACAGTATCCACGACAATTTTCTGTGGTAATTACGCCGGCTGTGCCAATAAGCAAGACCGAAGCCATCGTCGTCGCCTCGTATTATATCTCAGATCTGCCGACTGAATAGATTCCCGTGAACTAGTCTTTTAATTAGTTCCTCTCAGTCCTTTCGGTCCGGGACAGATAATATACGGCTGGCACTCTCCACTCCCGTCTAGCATCGGACTACGATCGCGCTGGCCGATCCGTACGTAAACTAGTCTTTTATTTAGTTCCTCTAGGTCCGGAATCGATAACATACGGCTGGCACTCCCCACTCCTGCCTAGCATACGATCGCGCTGGCCGATCCGTCGCCGTCGCATATTATATTATACCGGTCACAGTCTCGATCCCAGTATAGGTTCTGAGGAACCGGGAACTAGTTCCTTTCATTCCGAGGTTGGAATAGTTCATTGTAACTAGTTCGTTCACGAACTACACACCTCTAATTAGAATGACCAGGTTGCTAAATGTATAATGTAATATGGTAGAAATAAAATTACTACATAATTAACAGATATATAATCTCTTTGCTAAATATAAGCACATATAAAGCTCCCACAACTTTAACAAAATATAAACACAGACCGAATTGAGAGTATTACGCAGTGTTGGACTTCCTATTTTTCAGTATGCTTGCTATGAAAAATTCTCCAGCCTTGTAGGAACTTCGGACCAGAGGACCGCTGGCCACATACAAGAAGCCCAATTCCTGTCCAAACGTTTCCCAATGCTTATATTTGGCTGGTGTAACATATTCCACTACCTATAAAATATTTTTTTATTTAATTTTCTATCTTTTTAATATTTGAACGTATTTTTAATACAGAAAATTAATTTAATTTGAAAAAAGTACCAATTTCATTTTAATAACGTAGGATATTAAAATAGAAAAGAGACTACTAAAAAAACAAATAAATCGTTAAGAGGCTGATAAGTACATAACCCTGAAATGAAATCAAAACGATAATACATAGTCTACACAGCCATCTTTGAACGATACGTCAAACCTAACCTAACCAAACCAAAACAAAATTCCAATCCGTTTGTAACAAAAATGTTTATTGCCAGATTGAGCACCTAAAATTATAAACTGAAAGGCAACCAAAAGGAATAAAGGCCAAACATACCTGCTTGAAATTAATAAAATCCGAACGCGCTCGATTACTAATTTCGGAACGTACTTTTAAACTTAAATTGAGAGGGCACAACAATTTTTTTAAAGGGGGCGCAGGTACAAAAAGGTTGGAAACTACTGTGTTAGTATATGACATAATTTAGGATTGATTGACGAATTCAATTGTTTTCGATCACTTATTGTTTCGCCGGAAATGACTACAACTTCTAATTATTAAATGGCGGTATTTTTTACTGTATTCGATAGAAAGTGACACTGACATATGAATGACATACCATATGTCAACTTTTGACATTTTCGAATGTGGTTTATTTGAAATTGCAACATACGGTTCATAACAATAATTTGACTCGAAATACCAAGTGCGTGATATCAAATTATTCATAAAAAATGCCTTTTCCAAATATACTAATGAGCTACCCTCGTTCTATTTGAAAAAAATTGAGATATGATTAAAAATACGATTTGGCCATCTTTTAACTGGCCAGGACAAGACACTAAAAACATTAGACGCTCAAATATATTTTTCCAAGGCTCCTTGATTAAAAATTAGTGGTTTTAACACAGCCATGGCACTCTAGATTGAAATTTAAAATACAATTCCGTTTTAAGCGAAAATGTCAAAAGTTGACATATAATGTTGTCATTCTATTCAGAGTGTCATTTTCTATTGAATCAAACAAAGTAAAAAAATACCGAGGGTGCCATTTAAAAATAAAAAGTTGTAGTCCTTTCCAGTGAAACAGGAAGTGGCCGAAAAAAATTGAATACGTCAATCAATCCTAATTTATGTCATATACGAACATACCAAAACTCGTTTTCTTTTTTGAAAAAATGAGTTATAGGGGTATTCATTTATGGTTGTATCAATTGAATATCCCAATACATTGTTCCAATAATAAGTACAAACCAATTATGGTTTATGCTTTCTATTTATTGCAGAGGTGATGCAACAAGACACTCACTAGTTCTATAACTATCTCAATAAACCTTTGAATAAGAAGACTAAGGAAGGAGCATATCAAAAATCTTAGGTCTACCGCGATGGGCCTCAAATATGGCCGACCTAAATTCCGGTTTATCAGTGCCGTTCTAATTTTATTTAAAAAATGTAAAACTATGATGTAGGGTAGACGTGGGGTAGCCTCAATAATTTGTGATTTATTTTACATTGTGAACAAATGTTGGTAGTTATTAAAATTGTTATAAAAATATAAAATTCTAATAAAAATAGATAAGTTATAATAATTATTAATAACCATAAACATCTGATACGCTACTGAAGCAGGTAAGTCAAATTGACGTATCTAAATTCTTTGACAAGTAGTAAATAAAAGCAAAAATGCAAGAAAAAATATATAATTAGTTAATTTAAGTGAATTTCATAAATGATCGGTTTACTACACGTATGTATATTATATAGTCACTTACTAGCGAAAAGTTGTTCCATTATTTCACTCAATTTTTGCCGAGATCTACCGCACGCTACACAACCAACTATTTTAGAGTCTTTTTCGATAAATCGCGATAGTGTCACTGTTAATTTAAGTTCTGCCACAATTTCCATCTAGATTAACTATCTTTATAAAACTATCAGTAGCAGAATAAATAATAAATAACATAAAATAAGCTCCGTAAAGACTGACAAATCCACAAAATTTCAAATCAAATTCAAATGTGTCAAATGAATCGTCAAACAGAACTGTCAAGGATCCCCACCCTAGAGTCCTTTTTCCGCCCACCATGCATGAATACATGGATAGCATTATGCTCCTTCCTTAGTCTTCTTATTCAAAGGAATAAACAAATATTTTATACATCAAATGATAATACCTTCAAATGCCGCTTCGTTGGTTGCATATATTGACCCAAAGTCACACAATCTACACCAACAGCCTTTAAATCCCTCATAGTAGTTTCCACTTCCTCATCAGTTTCACCCAAACCTAACATTATCGAGGACTTGGTTATCAAGTCTGGATTCATTTTTTTCGCGTTTTCTAGTGTAAATAAAGACTGTCTAAAAACAGTGATTTAAAAGGTTTTCTAAAAGATCATAAACTAGCACTTATTTACCTATATTTTGCTCTTCTATCCCTTACAAAAGGTGTTAATTTTTCCACGGTTTCTATGTTATGTGCATATACATCCAACCCACTTTCTACAATTGTTCTAACTTGATCAAGATCTCCTCTGAAGTCTGGTACTAAACATTCCACCAGGATATTTTTATTTCTAAAAAGAAAATTTAAAAAAATGTGTACAAAAGATTTTTTTGTATATATTTATACCTGTTTTTAATTTCTCTGACAGTTTCAGCAAAATGGTTAGATCCACCATCAGGTAAATCTAAAATAAAATTTAATATTCAGAGGTGTGATAATTCTAACCTGTGTAACTTTAATTTATGAAAGAATATACAGTGTGTACATAAAGTATGGAATAAATTCACACACATTTTCTTGAAGTGGGATTTTATTAAAAAAAACGCTCGAACACGTCGATCTATTTTATAAAAGGGGCACATTTTAGGCATATTACCTTGCCTCCAGCTTCACCCCCCGATTGGGGGTGAATGGCACCCCTAGTTTTTGTAAAGGGAAGGGGGGTCGAGTGATACCTTATTTTAAAGGTCTCTCGCTCCAGATTATAGTCCTAGAGTTTGAAGTTGCTAGTGTCATTTTTGTTAACATGATAGTTTGTCAAAATTCCTAATTTCCTTAGATTTGTCAAGCTGCCATATTAACAGAAATTATGGTAGCAACTTCAAACTCTAGGGTTATAATCTCTAGCGAGAGACCTTTAAAATAAGGTATCACTTGACCCCCCTTCCCATTACAAAAACTAGGGGTGCCACTCACCCCCACTCGGTGGGTGAAGCTAGAGGCAAGGTAATTTGGTAATATGCCTACTTATATTATAAACAAAGTTTTAAGTTAAGAATAATAATAATAATAATCGTTTTTATTGAAAAAAGATGTGTAACATTACATATATTACACATCATCCAAGAAGGGTAGTTGCTACCGTAATTTCTGTTAATATGGCAGCTTGACAAAACTAATAAAATTAGGAATTTTGACAAGCTGTCATGTTAGGTTAGGTTAGGTACAAAGATGACACTAGCAACTTCAAAATCTAGGGCTATAATCTGGAGAAAGGGACCTTTAAAATAAGGTATTACTCGACCCCCCTTTTCATTACAAAAACTAGGGGTGCCACTCACCCCCGCTCGGGGGTGAAGCTAGAGGAAAGGTAATATGCGGAAAATGTGCCCCTTTTAAAAAATAGATCGACGTATTCGAGCATTTTTTTTTTACTAAAATCCCATTTTTAGAAAATGAATTTATTCCATACTTTATGTACACACTGTATAATTCTAATCCAAAGGATTCTAAATTGTTTTAACAAGATAGAAATTATCATTTATTGTAATTTAAAAGGTTACTGTGATGCCGTTCTTTTCGATGGTACGGTATATCAACTATTTAGTTCAAAATCATTTCCGTTTTCAAATGCCAAAATATTCCAGTTCAGTTAAAGTTAAAAATAGTATTATACAGGGTGACCCATTTTTGTGTGTTTTATGGGGATACTAGTTCATGAGTTTTCACATTAGTATGCTACTTTCTTGAAAGAGGGGGGGGGGGCTGGTGTAGAGCCCAGGGGGGCCTAAGGCTTTTGTTTTTTTAAAAATGAAAAATAATTTTAAAAAACACATTTTTTGAATAAAACGTTTACAATTTCTCTATCAATAAATTTCATAGACTTGGTTATCAAACAGTGTTCCCATAAATTACTTAAATACCTACAAATTTTTTAAAAAAATAAAAATTAACACATTTTTTGAACACAACAAAATAATATTAATTAAACAAAACTAGAAAACATCATTTTTAGTGCATCACAAGCAAATAAAAATTAATACGTAGAGTCTTAATTGAGGAATTCTCTGGGGAGTGCCCAGCAGTAACTGGGGGGGTGGGGGGGGGGTCACCGCCGGGCACACCTGTAGTTACGCCAATGGGTACCCCATTTAAAAAAGCAAAAGTTTGGGTCATATTTCAAGAATGAGAGCTTCCAGCAAAAAACTTGTTACGCCACTGAATTTTACGTGAAAAACTCTATGGAACTCAGTTTTCAACTTTTCGATAAGTTATTAAATAAGCAAGATACAAAGAGAGCCAAAAAAATTGCCATATATTTTTTTTGGGCCTACGAGTTCTATGACAAATCTGTGTGTGGCATCTTTAATTTCATAAAAAAGTACCACAGAGATGTAAAAACTGCATCCTTATACCTACATAAACGATCTAAAACACAAGAAAATGGGACACGCTGTACTTGTACCTAACTAGAGTTAATTTTGCTAATTCTTACCATCTCTATCCACAGACGTTAAAACAATATAATCCAAGCCCCACGACGCGATCGCCTTTGCAGTATTCACAGGTTCGTTTACATCAGGAGGGCTAGGCGCCCTAGAAGTTTTCACGGAACAAAATCTACAACCCCTCGTACACGTATCACCTAATAACTAACATTGTAACTTGTTAAAAAAATATGTATAAAAAAGATAACAAACATAAAACATACCATAATGGTGGCTGTCTGTGTACCATGCTCCCCACCTCCCCAACATTCTCCTATATTAGGACACCTCGCCTCCTCACAGACAGTATGTAAATTTAACTTCCGAAGCTGTTCTTTGATCTTACTAAAATTCTTTCCTGTAGGTATCTCGCGTTTTAACCATGGCGGAAGTCGCAATCTTTGATCTTCTCCCTTGTCTCGTTTTAATTTACCATCATAACTGTCCCATTCTTCCGAATTATCTTGTAATACTGGATTTGGGTCGTTAATAAAATCCTGTAGACTGGGGCCACTGGCTACTTTCTCTCTTAACGCCTCTAAATGCGTCTTATTTCTTATTCTATTCAAGAAAGATTAATTAATATGTATTAAATTAATGAATTTTATCTTATACGTACTGTGATTCCAAATTTATCCAAACTTTTGATCTAAACATTTTTCACTGATTGATGTAATTTTATTTTTCTTGATGAAGATAAATAATACGAAGATATAAATAATTAAGCTAAGGCATGAGTACAAATGATAAGAATAAATGATATTATTCTATCTCTAAAATAATTTTGCAATGTTTACATAATTTTTTTGAGGTTATGTGAGATATAACCTTAAAAAGAGTTGTCAAACTCATCTGATTACAAAATTTTTTAAAAAACTTTTAATAATTTTCTTACAGTTTATTTAAACAGTAAATTAAATATTGTGTTGGTTGTTATAGCGTTTTGATTCGAATAAGTATGTCTGTAAATTTTATTATAAAACGATCAATTTCAACGACAGCAGCCAATTTTGGCAAAAGGAATTTTCGAAAATTTCAACTATTTAATAAGCGTGGGTCCAGAAATTTTAAGAAACAACAAATGGAAAATCCAGACTCTGACGTACCGATCCATAGTAAGTTTTTCGATTATCTATAATATCGAGATATCAGGTGATAAAATTCTAAAAACCTCTTTCAAAAAATTCTCTCGAACAAACTGCTACTATAAAGTAAAAACTGTATCTTTAACTATTTTTTTTCTAGCACGAGGTGTTAAACCCGTTGGCTACACAGAAAATGGGCAATTTATAACCATACCGGAAAAAATACCTGAGATAATTGTACCAGATTTGACTGGTTTTACAGTAAGTTAAAATTATTTAATATAGGTAAGTAGAATTTTTAAATGATTTTTTTTAGCTAAAGCCGTATGTTTCCTATAGAACTAAAGATGTAGTGCAGTCAGAATTTACAGCTCAGGACCTTTTCAATGTAGTGTATGCTCCAAAAATAGCAAAAGATTTTGACGAAGGAAAGTTAGATGAGGGTGGTAACCCGAAAGAACCATCACTGGAAGAAAAACTCACACCTGAAGAGGCAGTACAAAAAGCAAGACAAACTGGGTCTGATATATTTTAAATTTAGCTTAAAGATAGTTTAATGTTTGTAAAATACACTATGTTCCCTACTATTTAAAATAAACATTAAAAAGTACCTACTTTTGTACTCACAATTAAAAACTGGTATACAATATACAACATATTTAATATACAGGGTGGCGCACCTCATTCGCCTCGGTACAAAAACGGAAAGATATAGAAACAAAATATTTTATGGGTATGTGTGGGAAGGCAATGTGCATAATTTAAAATTATTTTAAAATGTACAGGGTATGTCAGAACTAAGTTCCACATCAAAGTTATTTCTTAGGGAACACCCGGTAGTTTATTTCATTTTTTGGATCCTGAGCCACAAAATGTTTACAAGCTTTGGTTTTTGAGATATTTAAATAGTATAAAAAAGATTGTCAACACCATGAACATTACTTTTCAGAATTATTTTTTGTGCTGACTTTTAAGCCAGAGAAATATGTAATATTTAATAAAAATCTTGATTGCTTTGTTTAATGTATACAGGGGTATCAAAAATTGCTGGTCTATTTTCGTTATTTCAAATACAATACTCTATAATTTTTAAAATAAAACGAAGCAGATTTAATGTAGTAGTTTAGGCTTTCGCGGCCATCATTTGAAGAATTGCTTCCTAACGTTTCGCTAGCACGAGTGGCTAGCATCTTCAGAGGTGTGTTTGCTCCGACTGCTCACACTAGACTGATGCGTCGACGGAGGGGGCGTGGCTTGTCCGGGTGGTTGTTCTTCCGGAACTGGTCTACTTCTCTGTGCTGCTACTTTGGTCCTAGATATAGCTGGATGCCAAATTCTGTTAAGGTAGAAAGTTTCTTCCTTCCTGTTGAAATTATTTGGATGTTTCTGAATTTCAACAGCTTCCCTGACCAGACGAGGATGATATCCAGATGTTGTGGCAATGACTTGGGTGTCTTTGAATTGGATTTTGTGGTCACCATCTCTTAGAGCATGTTCTGCTACGGCTGACTTCTCTGTTTACCCCAAATCTTTGGTTTGCCCTAATCTGCAGTTTCTCTTGTGTTCCGTAAGTCTCGTTCCTACTGAGCGTTTGGTAGTTCCAATATACACGCTACCGCAGAAACAAGGTACACGGTAGATCCCAGCAGAGGATAATGGTTCTCTTTTGTCTTTGGCTGGTCTTAAGCAGTCCCTTATTTTTTGGGTAGGTTTGTATATGGTTTTGATGTTGAGAACTTTACCAATCCTATCGGTGACCTGGGAAACATATGGAAGGAAGGCCTTATTAATGATGTTTTCCTGTTCATTGACGTCAGGTCTCCTCTGCCTAGGTACCAGCGCCGCCTTTATTTCTCTGTCATTATAGCCATTGGCAAGAAAGGCTTTATTTAAATGGCTTAGTTCCTCTTGGATGTGTTCATTAGCACAAATACGTTTTGGCTTGGATGGTGATTTGATAGTTTGTGTAAGTACCGGTCTGTATGAGTGGGTTTTCGATACACCGTGTGATCCAAAAGGTCGCCATTTCTCTTGACAAGCACATCGAGGAAGGCCAGTTGGTTGTTTACTTCGGTTTCCATGGTAAATTTTATGCTCGGGCTCTGCGAATTAAGGTGATGAAGGAAGTCATCTAGGCTGTCACGTCCATGTTTCCAAACCACAAATGTATCGTCCACATAACGAAGCAGATTTAAATTCTCTCAAACTATATTAGAGTTCCATATACCTATCTAGCTCAGATTTTGAATAAATAGCAATTTTTCAATAAAATGGCAACCAAAAGGCTGTTGTCGTCATGGCAAGTTTCTAGTGACAGTAGCTATTTTCAAAACCCAAATTAATTTATGAAATTTATAGCAGTTTACTTTTATTAAATTTACCTACAATAGTTTAATAAATAATATGTATTTATTATTTTATCAAGAAAAACGAAGAAGTAGTTCTTTGATTTATTTTACTATGACTTGTAGATATATGGATTTTCTATAAAAGAGCCAATTACGGCAAATTCATTTTCTTCACTTCCAACGCTAGGTTTCTGCCTAATTGTAAATCACACTACTAGCCCTGCGAAATAGGACAAGTAGGTAGTTTTTCAAAGGAACGCTTACAAGAATATTCCTATTTGGATATCTTTGAGTTTAAGCCTAAGCTCTGGAGGTCAAATCATATACTCTTCTAATGACAAACCTAACCTCAAAACTGCGTCTGTGACATTCCTGAACTTGTCGACATTTCCTTCATATTGCTGTCTTCCATTCGCGAATTTGAAGTTCCAGAGCTTTACGCCCTGGGCTACTCAAGAACGGTTCTGAAAGGAGCTGTGCGCTATAGTCTGGTGTCCCCATATGGCGTGGAACAGTTCTGAACTTTATGACTTAATTGAATGGAGTGAGAGTATCGCGTTCTTGAACAGTTCAGAGCTGCACAACTGCGTGCATGGAGGACAGCAATAGTCGACGTCAACAACATAATAAGTCGATGCCGAACTCTGATGAGGATAAAAATAAAACACAAAATCCAAAAATTACCTATTCTATATTACATAATTCAAAACACAATCATTACAATTTTTCAATTACCTTTTATTTGAAAGCATTTTCAACTAGAAAGTATTCGAAAAATTTAAAGATATTAAAATAATCATCTAAAAACTAAAACACAATAAAAACAGTCTCACGTTTACTGAAGAACATTATGAGGATACCTTTAGAAAAATTCATATATAACGTGCATTGTGAATTTTAAGTAAAATCAGAGGAGGCTGATCAATTTCGATGTACTATATCTCAGGTTCTTTGTATTTTATATATTATTGGTTAAAATAGCTGTCAATTTTAACTTTAGTTATTAAATTAACAACTATGATTCTTTGTTTTTGAAGTTTCGCCAGCGACACAACGTAGTTCTGGATCCGAGGCTTAATATGAATCTATTGCAATTATTGTAGTAAAATGAGTAACTAATTCTGGAAATTAAAAATCCAACCCTAGATGCAATATTTTCGTAAATGTGGACCGTTTGAAATCTTGATGCAAAATCCGGCAATACCGCATAGAAGATAGTGTGCGTGTTCAGGAAACACAGCGGCTAACTGACCGCTGAGTATTTTGCTCAGCGGCTGACTGTTTTTGCGTGTAAAAAGAGACCGTTTAGGGATACCGCTTACTCAGCCACTCAGCCGCTGACCGCCCCTGAACATTCATAAATCCAACTTATTTCTCTTTTTAATACATTTGGCTTTTAATTAAGCTGTCTCCATCACTGTCTTACACGTTAAAATCCATACATCGGGTCTACGATGACCAAATCTGTCTAAGACAAAAATTATAAAAAAAATAAATAAAACATTCTTTTTCATAATAAACTCACCGGCAAAAAAAACCGGCCACTAAAAACTAGATCCAATTTCAAAGTTGGATTTCTCGCGAACCACTCATTAGATTTTGATTATTTTTTTTTTAAATTGTAAATTAATTCCTTTTTAACGGATGCTACGTCAGAAATTTTTATTCCGAATTTATTTTGAGCATATACGGGCACAACAATAAGACGAAGTTTTTTGCCCGAATTTTGTAACACCCTATAGGGTGCAGCAACGATAGCAGCTATTGCTAAATTAAATCACGTCGTAGCCTCATCTTTTGTGAGCATTTTATTTTTTTAATCACCACATTATCTCTTTTTGTATTGGAGATATGCTGTTTTAAAAGGAACGTCTCGAAAAAATGCTTCGCAGACAGAAAGTTTTATGTATTTTAATCAAGTCGATATAGGCAAAAATAGATTTATGAGTATTTGCAATATGAAAATAACGGTTGTCAAATTAAAAAATCCAAATCTGTAACGGATGTTGATCGTATTGTGTGGCTTTAATTGAGGGTGCAGCCACACTATCCTAAAAACGGCGTATCGGCGTAACGGCGTAACGACCTTGAATCGATTTCCAGTAATTCTATTGGCTAAAATTTTTGACAGATGAATTTGACAAGTAAAAATTCTGACAGATGAATGTTTCAGCCAATAGAATTACTGGAAATCCATTCAAGGTCATTACGCCCGTTACGCCGATACGCCGTTTTTAGGATAGTGTGGCTGCACCCTGAGGATGGCCGAAGTCAACGTTGTGTCCGATACCCTGGGTATATTTCGAACAACAGTCCAGGATGTCTGGAATCGGTATATGGAAACGGAAAATTTCACCAGGCGAGTGGATACTAGATATTAGTCCCTTAAAATTTCTTTACCTTTTTTTTAATTTTCATGTTTTACTTAGTTTTCAGGTTAAACTTACCTACGTTCTGATGTTTGATTTGTTTTTAAAGCTTTTTTTCGAGGCGTTTGTTTTAAAGCAGCGTATCTCCAATACAAACAGAGATAATGTCGTGATTAAAAAAACAAAATGCTCAAAAAAGATCAGGCTACAATGTGATTTGATTTAGCAATAGCTACTACAGCTGCTGCACCCTACAGGGTGTTACAAAATTTGGGCAAAAAACTTCGTCTTATTGTTGTGCCCTGTATATGCTCAACATAAATTCGGAATAAAAACTGCTGACGTAGCATCCGTTAAGAAGGGAGTACTTTACAATTTTAAAAAAAATCATCAAAATCTAATGAGTGGTTCGCGAGAAATCCAACTTTGAAATTGGGACTAGTTTTTAGTGGCCTTTTTTTTGCCGGGAATGTACAGGGTGTCCCATTTTGGTTGAAATCATATGGTATCTCCGTTATTAGTGAAGATAGAAGGGTGCGGTTTGCACAAACCTGTGCCACTTTTTTGTCAAACGGAAGATGCCGTAAACAAAATTTTCATAGCTCTCTTTGTTTCTGAGCTACAGGGTCTTTTTGAAAATTTTGCAATTTGGGACACCTCCTGTATCTCTGTTACTGTTAAATCTATCGAGAAGGTGAAAACTGTTTATTGTAGAACTTTTTACGTAGAATACAGCGACGTAGTCTGTTGTTCTACGAAAAGAATATTTTTAAAGATATGAACTAAAGTTATTTTTTCTTAAATGGAACACCCTGTATATTTATGAATTAAATGATCGGACTTGCCATAAGCTTCTCAAAAATATATAACACTCAACATATTTATTTTCATTA